ACAGTATTTCGTATCNCATGTTACTTAACAGACTGTCTTACTTGCGTGATCATATATCTCTGCGGTGATTAGAACTGTTTCCACGCCACTTTACCGCCCAGGAACGTAATCGAGGACAGATATTATTAATGTCCATTTTGAAATGATCTGACGTGAATTGAAGGACACGGCATCAATATTAATAGTATTCCGTACTCGGGGATAGACAGCGTCGAAAAACCTGTCGAGAGATTGTATCTAATTGCTATCAAAAACACGAACAGTGGTATCGTTTTCATTTTCAGATTATGAACCGTAACGGTTCGCGTGTGTTTTCAAGTATGTTTGCAGCTATTGTAGTGAATTAGAACTGATTGAAGAACTGCTAACACGATAATATTAGATGGTTTTTTTAAAGTTTTGTCAATGTCAACGTCATGTGTTTTTGTAGCACCGCATCTCAATACATTTTCATTTTACTGTGTCGTGGTATATACTGGTTGGTAGATAATTTTGTAACCTGTACATTGATGCTAGTAATTTTTTTTTGAATTTTAATGTTTTGCTTCATTTCCTCTAAGTGGTTTTCGGCCAATTTTTCTCTACGAATTCAAATTGAACCAAAGCCCTGCCAAAACAGACCAATAAATTAACCAGGTATTTGGCAATAATAGTGTTAATGAACGCACTGTTTGCCATTGGTTTGCGAAATTTCGTTCAGAAGATTTTAGCCTCGAAGATGAGTCCATAAGTGATCAACTTATAGTAATCTAGGACGAGGATTCGAGTACATTGGTAGAGACTACGCACAAAATGTGCGTAGGATGGTGGAAGAACTGGGCGTCAGTTCCCATACGATTTTCGATGGTTTAAAACGTATTAGGAAGCTCAAAAACGTCAAAAAGTGGGTGCCCCATGATTTCAACGATCGACAGAAATTGTCATGTTTCAAGGTATATTAGTTTTCCGCACAATATGCATTTTTTTTAGTGAAGGTAAGTGTAGTTCTGCTCTAAAATGTAAATGGAAAAAGTCATAATTATATTCAAATTTCTAGAAAAATCGACGGGAATCGCCGCGGCTTTTCTTTGACAAGTACCGCGTGTTCCTTTGATAAAGCCGCCTTTTGCCGCTAGCAAGGGGTTATTATCCTGAAAGAAAGTGATGCGGGTGATTCTGGCCTAATTGTGGATCGAATAAATTTTAGTAGCTAATTCATTTCATTTTGTTCTAGTGACCTATCTACTAAAACAAAATCTGTGAATAGTTCTATATCGGAATTTTTTTCTCGAGATCGATTCAAAAAGCACTCGATCCACCGTTTGAGCACCCCTGCTCTACGACAATAGGAAAAGTTTAAGACAGTGGTTGGACACCGATGAGTCACCCAGATACCTACTTCCCAAAAGCGAAAACCACCAAAAAGACCATGGTTACTGTATGTTGGTCAGCTGCTGGCGTAATTCATTATAACTTTCTGAAACTGGACCAAACCATCACAGTAGAGACATATCGTGAGAAAATCGACGAAATGTAGCGAAAATTGCGTCAGCACTAGCCGGTACAGGTCAACAGAAGACGTCCAATCCTGCTCCACGACAACGCCTGTCCGCACGTTTCACAAATCACCGTCCGAAAATTAAACGAATTGAGCATCGACGTTCTGCCTCACCCACCACACTCCCCAGACCTCTCGTCAACCGATTACCATCTTTTCAATCACTTCGATAATTTTCTCACCGGTAGAACCTTCTCCAATCGGGACCAGGCAAAAACGGGCTTCAGCGACTCCATCGAATCCCAAGCACATACTTTTGTGCCGACGGAATGAATCGATTTGTGTTCCGTTAGCAAAACTGCACTTATTCAAATGACGCTCATTTCGATTGAATTTTGAGTATTCACTGATTTATAACAGTTCAAATGAGACTCATAAAAACGGACAAATTTTTTGATACAACCCAATGTACTGAAAATGTTTGTAAATATAACAAATTTCAGACAATCAATTGAAACTAATGTTATGAAACGTGTTTTGTTCAATTATTCGAATTTTATATGTTCCAATGTTTTGACAGAATCAGAATCAACGAACTTAGGCGTGCGCAGCGTTAAAGAACAGTGCTTTTGAAAATTGTTCTACAGCGCCATCTAGTGGCGAGTTACAGAAAAATTGATAGCCTAAAAACCTTCTCTATGAAAAATTACTTATACATGTCAAGTTTCATCACGATCGGTTGAGCGATGTAGAAGTTTATCACTTACCAACCAACCAAC